GGAGGAGAAGCAGGCGAGCTACGAGGACGAGACGAGCGAGCTGCGTGAGCAGAATGAACTGCTGGAGTTTCACATTTTGGAACTGGAAGATGATAACGATAAGCTGCAGGATCTGGACAAGCTGCAAAACAAAGCGAAAGTGTACCAGAAGACTCAGGGAGAACTCCAATCTCAATTGCGCACTCGCGAGCAAAACATCTGGTGAAAGTCAGCCAGGTATTGTTGGAGGACAACCCGGATACGGAACACAGGTATTGTTGGAGGACAACCCGGGTACGGAACACAGGTATTGTTGGAGGACAACCCGGATACGGAACACAGGTATTGTTGGAGGAACTCAACCAGGAATCAGTGACCTCCAGACAAAGTACTTACAGCAGGTGTTGGAAGAAGGATGAGATCAACGCTCTTTTGCTAGAATTTATGGTGAAGTTAGAGGCGAGCGAGAACGAGAACCACTAAAAATTCCGCACTTACAGCCTGGAATTGGATGAATGACGAAAGCCGGAATTTAAATTCATGTTAGCCTTTATTGAGTTTTATTTTTAAATTCAGGAATTGATCTCTCATACCATTTAGTTTTGTACTTTCAGGAAAATTATTTAAATTTTTATTTTGTATAAACGCACATTAAATTGAGGAGGAGTGTTGAACAGTGAGAATAATCTATAATGCACGGCAATTTAATGTTTGTAAGCGTTCCGCTATTTAGACGTTCAGTTTCGATATACTTAAGATTTAAAATGTAAGGTAACACTTTGAAAATGAAATTTAAAGAGGACGCTACGAAAGCTCTGTGAATATTATTGAATAAACGAATATACTATCGACTTCACTCATTGTCTGACCATCATTTTCATCGTGGAATTCATCAAAATCAAATAATTTTTAAGGTTTTTAATAATTTTTTAGTATGGAATGGGTTTTAATTAGATAATACGATATATGAAAAACAAGCCATAACGATGGATAATGAATTACATAATACCTACATATGTAATTTAAAATTTTGGATGGAAATAACTTGTTATTTATTTTTGACGAACGAATGAGTCCACCAGCTGTTTATGTTGTGTAGTAAGTGGTCCAGGTTGAAGTTTAGGTTTTTGTTTTTGTTAAAATTTATTATGAGGAAAAAATCATCGCACCATGGGGCAAACGACCAGTTTTTGTGGCATTAATTAATAACTTGAAAACTAATCAACATTTTTGGGATCCGTTTTTTTAATCGAGTTAATAATAATATAAGGAATGTATTTTAAGAAAAATCAGCGTGGGTTCGACTATTTTTTAAATTACATTTTTTTTTTTTAAATAATATAAAAAATTTTTTTTTTGTTTTCTGACTAGAATTGGAAAACAATACAATATAAAAAAATTTCGCTGTCCTACCATTTTTTTAAATAATTATTTTAATATTTTTTAATTTTACAGAACCCTTATTGGAGCCTGTAACAAAAAGTATAAAACTTTGCTTTTAGTTAATTACTAATTAATTTACTGTACCATAGAATAATAATTAGAGATAGAGATCAGAGTTGTATAGTCATCTCTCTCGTTCTTATAACATAGAATAGAATAAGTTTAAGTTTAAGATCATGTATTGCGAGCTCGCTCACGAGGCTCAACGAGGAGAAAAAGGAGGAGAGTAAAAGGGCATTCTGTGCCTGGCGATTGAAAGGAGTGTTTGATTATATAATAAAGTTACTTAAATTAAAGCACGACCTTGACATTATTTAACTACTACAATATCAGAAGTGGTTCTTACTCACAATGCCTGACACAGATCTATGTCAATTCACTGTGGTTCAATTCAAACGATGCTTAAGAGTGCTTGGGCTGCGAACCTCGGGCACAAAAGCCGAATTAATGGCGCTTCTGCAGACATATTCTCTAGAAGCGCGTGGCGACCCCCCAAGCGGGACAACAAAGCATCAAGAGCAGGCACTAGCTCTAGAACCACCAAAAGACCAAGACATAGAGGAAATTTTGATCAACCCGTACTCGACAACGACACAGGCAGTGGACGGCATCGGCATGGAGCAGCTTTCCCTTATCGATGTCGAAAAAAAATTGCAGAAAAATCGAAAATCGAGGCAAATAAGGCAATGTTAAAAAAAATCCAAAATCATGTCCAACAGAACAAGAGCGACGGCGGCAGAAATTCCGAGAACAACAACGACGCCGGCGCCAGAAACTTCGAGAACATCGACACCCCTTGCAGTTCCAGTGTTGGGAAGAAAGCGACAGACAGTGATGATCAACGCCACATCGCAAATGTAAACAAAGGTCCAGAATCTTCTACGCATCGCTTGTATTAGCAAAAGAGGTTACAATGGAGGTTACGATGGTAACATGTGTGCCCGAAAATGGGTCAAACAATTGCAAAACATTGTTAAGATCTACGATTTGGATACCTCGGGTGTGCGAATACTTCTAATTGCCAAACTTAAGGGAAAGGCCCAAATCTGGCTGCACGCAAATTGCACACGCATTTTGGAGCCAAGCGATCGTCTGTGTGAGCAGCTAATCAGGAATTTTGGAGCCAAAATGTCTAAGGGAGAGCTTAGGATAAATTCCAAAATCGTCGTTGGAGTTCAGGAGAACGGTTCGCTAACTACTTTGAAGAAAAAATCATGCTGGCGAACGATATTGACATCGACATGGAGGAACTTCTCGAGAGTATTATCGAAGGAATTCCTGTTTAGGGATTGTGCGACCAGGCTCTCATTCAATGCTTCTCCAAGCCAATGCAGACTTTACAAGCGTTCTCATGGATTCACTTGCCGGAGCGGAATAGGTGGACAATTCTTCGCAACGTCCTTCGGGTAAAAATGCAGATCTGCGTTGCGCTAATTGCAACTCGAAGGGGCACTTCGCAAAGGAATGCCGTAATCCAAAAAGGGAGTCAGGATCCTGTTATGCGTGTGGAAAGTTCGGACACTTCGTGGGACAATGCCCGGCTCGAAAGAGCGTAACTACAAATAACAATTACGTCAGATACTTACAATTTATTTTAACAACAGTTTTTAAACCCCATTAACTGCAGCATGCCTCATAGACACTGGGAGTCCTATCTCATTTGCCAAGAAAAGCGTTATATCCTCTAAAGTAAAGAAGGAGATAGTTTCTGAAAACTTCTTCGGGCTGAACGGAAGCCAACTAAAAATATTTGAGAAAATTTTATGTTATACAGTAGCATCCTGTTATAACGACTCCGCTTATAGTCTCCGTCCGGGTATTGCAACGAAAATTCGAAGGCTTGATTGGTCCCCACACAGACTTATACATTTATATCCTTTTGCTTAGTGCGTCTTCCGGGTATAACGACGAAAATTCGTCGGTCCCTTGAAAGTTGCTATAAGCTGCTGTATATTAAAAGAAAGAGTGAAATGTTTTTTCACCTTTACATTGTCCCCAACGAGTCTATGAGTCATGATGTTGTTCTTGGAAGAAATTTTATGGATGCTTGCAATTTGAAATTGGATCTGAACACTTTGAAGATGGTTACGGTTGAGCCTGAATATACCGAACGTATTTTAACGATGAATAATTATTTGAGTTCTGAGTTAGTGATACAGTTATTGAGACAGTCAGTGATACAGTTAGCAAAACAGTAAGTGATTCAGTTAGTAAGACAGTTAGAAATATAATTAGTGAAAGAGTTTGCGACACAGGTAGAGGTAAATTTAGAAAAGCGGTTAGCGACCCAGTCAACGAATTAGAGAGGGTTAATGTTAGCGAGATAATCAGTCCTGTAGCCAGGGAATCAACGAATGCAACGGTTATTATTATTATTATTATTATTATAATTATTATTATTATTAGGGGGGATTATTATTATTTGCTGGGTCGATGCTTCCAGAGGTCCCAATTATAAGGAACCAGAACGCGACGGTTCTACTTCTCAGGCTACTTAGTGCTGGGCAGTCTGATATTATGTGTAGGGAGGTTTCATCCTCGCTATCACAGAATCTGCATGTCTTGCTGTTTGCAATCCCTATATTACTCCTCCTCCTGACTCCTTAGTCTGCAATGTCCGGTTAGTAAACCGGTAACTTCCCTAAATAAATTCTTCCGTAGTGGTATAAGTTTCTTGAACCTCTTCATGTCATAATTGACGATGAGGATTTTGGCTTGTCTTTGGCCTGTGGTGTTCTCCCAGCAGGCTTGCCTCATATGTACCTCTTCCATTCTCAGATAATCTTTGATTGTGTGTCTGCCTATGCCACAATAAGGCTCGGGTCCTATAAGGGGTCGTTCCGCCCCTAGTTTTGCTAGCCTGTCGGCTAGTTCATTCCCGGATATGTCTTTATGTCCTGGAATCCATCTTAATGACAGTGTTCGGTCAAACTTTGTTATTCCCTTAGTATTTTCTTATATACATATCAGAGACTGTTAACTTTCTGGTATTTACATGTTATGTTACGATAGTCATGTTATGCTAGCTGCACTTTGCGCAGCAGAATAAACGATCAGTTCGAATGAAATAGCGAAACGAAGAACACTCTCTTTAATCGGTACAGACTTTTCACGCCCCATTTTTCACACCGCCCAGATCCTAGTTTCATGTCACCACAAAAACGCTTGTGGATGCAACATTTTAGCGCCCAACGTGGGGCAGTGTGTTAAATAAACATTTAAATAAACTAATAAACTTATAAATTAAACGTGCCAAAAGTCTCACCGTTCTCGCGCGTTCCGTATGCACACAGCTGCACACATACGCATACGATCACAAGTGCGAGCAGTCAAGTGTCGCTAATAAACGGGACAATTCTTCGATTTCGCTTTGCGCTTGAAATTCCTCTCCACACTTAAACTAAACCGAAATTGAAAGGGAATCGTTGCTTGCAGTTCTTTCGTTTTCGCTAATTTCTGCAACTGTGTAGCCGCTTGTCGCTCAACAAATTTGTCGCTTTCGGAATCTAACGGCAAGTCTTCGCGCTACACCGGTTCAGAACTTTGATACGCTTCAACCTTTACCTAACTGCAAAATAATGGTTCCGAGTGCAAGCCAACTTGACGAGGCCAAACGTCAAAGAGCCAATGTCAAACGAAACATTTCGCGAATTAAATCAGTAGTTAACGAACATGTTGAAGAGGAGTCTTTCAACCGCTCTGCCGCTGAACTCCAATGCCGTCTGGGAATTTTGGAATCCTACTTTAAACAGGCGCTAGTGATTCAAACTAAAATTGAAACTCTGGATTCAGCGGCCAACGGGCGTGTTGACATTGAGGAGTCATACATAGCGACCAAATTGGCTATCAAACAACTACTCGGTGAAAATCTAAGCAGCACAATGCTCGAATCCAATCCACCGGCACTGCCGCAGTCAAAGCTCCCAAGGCTGCCGCTGCCAACTTTTGATGGTACTCACACGGAGTATAAAAACTTCATGACTTCATTTATGCAGCTTACTGGACGTGAGAATTTGTCATCAATTGAGAAATTCAACCATCTTCTCAACTATTTGAAGGGCCCAGGACTGGAAGCAGTAAAGGCGTTTCCAGTGACCAGCGAAAACTTTCCCAAGGCTTTGGATAGGTTGAAGGCTCGATACGACAAGCCAGGGCTAATATTTATGGAAACAATGACCACAATCTTTAAATTGCAGCCTGTTAACTCTTCGAATGCACAACAATTGCGAAGCTTGATCGATATTTCATCCGCCCTATTCAGCTCTCAGTCGTCGCTGGGCTCAGATGCACAAATTTCGGAGGCAATGCTGATCTACCTGGTTATGGACAAGTGCGATCAACAAACTCGGAATAAATGGAATGAATCCCTGGACTACTCTTCGTTGCCATCCTGGACATTTGCACTCACCAAGACCACATGCGTCTTTTGCTCCAGCGCTGGACACAGACTCATGGCATGCGACCAGCTTCGGAATTTGGACTCACTGCAACGCCTAGAAGTGGTGAAAAAACAGGGCCTTTGTGTCAATTGTCTTGGCAAAGGACATAAGGTGTCAAACTGCCCGTCGAAAAATCGCTGTCGAAGTTGCAATCAGCCGCATCATACGCTCTTGCATCACCACAACTCTCCGAAGTCGTTATCATTACCTTCGACAAGCTCGTCCCAGCCCAGCGGAACAGCAGCTTATTCTCAACCACAATTGAGCGCAGCACCAAACTACGTGAATGTGCAGCCGTATCCTATCGGAGCTGCAACCCATGCGCACGCTCAATCAGATGCAAGAGGGGGATCACAAGTCATCCTAGCCACAGCAATGGTGCAGGTTCAGGACTCAATTGACTCCTTCAGACTCGGGAGAGCGCTTCTCGACTCCTGCTCTCAGGTCAATTTTATAACCGAGGCTTTTGCTCATAAACTCAGATTTCCGAGGGACAAACATAGTGTTCAAATTCGCAGTATCGGCGACTCGAACACGCACATCAAACACCGTACATCAACAACAATCAAATCTCGTCTTTCGCTTTTCGAATTGTCTCTCGATCTCTGCATAACGCCTAACATTGCATATCAGCCGGATACCCAAATTGACATCTCGAACTGGAACCTTCCACCCAACACGCCGTTAGCGGACGAACAATTTCATCTTTCCCGAAACGTCGACATGCTGCTAGGTGCAGAGGCATTCTACGATATTCTAGCAGTGGGCCAAGTCAAACTGGGCTCCAATTTGCCGACTCTCCAAAAGACACTATTCGGTTGGGTAGTAGCGGGAAGCCATCGCCCAAACCAATCAAAGGAGTCCTACGCATATCTGGCTCAAAGCTCTGCAGCCATTGATGCAAATCTAAAGCGTCTGTGGGAGGTCGAAACAATCAGCACCTCGGGTGAACGACTTAAGCCAGAACATAAGTTATGTGAGACACACTTCAAGCAGTCAACTCGCTTAGAAGCAAACGGAAGGATCGTCGTTAAGTTACCATTCAAGGATGCCCCTACTCAGCTTGGCAATTCGGTTGACATTGCTCGTCGCAGATTTCTCAACGTCGAACGCCCAATATAGGACGTTCATGAACGAATATGAACAAATGGGTCACATGGAGCTAGTGGCAAATCCCAATTTATCGGCCCCTCACTACTACGTTCCTCACCACTGTGTGCTACAGCCAGCCTGTGAATCTACAAAGCTTCGAGTTATATTCGATGCGTCCTGCAAAACGTCAAGTCAAGTCTCCTTGAATGACATCTTACTTTGCGGTCCCACGATTCAAGATGATCTCGTCATGCTACTGCTACGTTTTAGACTTTCAAGATATGCCCTGACAGCCGACATAGCGAAGATGTACAGGCAAGTAAATGTTGATATTAGTGACCGCAAATTTCAGTACATTCTCTGGCGAGATTTCCCAGGCGATCAACTACGCACATATCAGCTTTATACGATCACTTACGGAACGGCTTCCGCACCATATCTCGCTGTACGTAGCCTACACCATTTAGCGGATCTTCATGGTGCTGAATTTCCCATTGGTGCTGCCGTTATAAGGACTTCATTCTATGTTGACGATTTAATAACTGGTGCAGACGAAATATCGACTCTGTCAGTCATAAAGGATCAAGTTACCAAATTACTAGAACGCGGTCAGTTTCCGCTTACCAAATGGCACTCAAATCACATGGACTTCGTCGAGAGTCGCAACAACAAGGATCTCAATCCATGCATAAACGCTATGACTAGTGCACTTGGAGTACATTGGCATCAGAATTCCGATGCCCTACGATTTGCATTTACGCCCAAAACCGTGCCTGCAGCAATCACAAAACGTACTATTCTATCTGTTGCGTCTGCACTATACGACCCACTTGGATTGCTGTCACCGCTAATTATCGTCGCCAAGATCATTCTACAGGAACTCTGGCTAGCAGGATTGAGTTGGGATGAATCGGTACCGCAACACTTGCAAATCGCTTGGATTCCTTTAGAACCTGTTCAAACCTTTCGGTGCCACGCTATTGTCTACAAGCTCAATACCTATCAGTTCAAATTCACAGATTCTGTGACGCGTCAATCCGAGCATATGGTTGCGCCATTTATCTACGTACCGAATGCATCGACGGAACCATCGCTGTTCAACTGTTTACTTCTAAGTCCAGAGTGGCCCCGGTAAAAAGGAAGTCTCTTCTAAAATTGAAATTGTGCGGAGCGCACTTGCTGGCGCAGTTGTATACTAAGGTCCTCCCGATGCTACAGGACAAGCCGTATACCTCATACTTTTGGTCGGATTCCCAGATCGTACTGCATTGGCTACACGAGCATTCTGTTACACTATCGACATTCGTAGGAAATCGAGTATCCGAAATACAAGATTCAACATCGACTGGAGAATGGAGATATGTACCCACATCGCTCAACCCAGCTGATATTGTGTCCAGAGGAGCTACAACACACGAACTCCAAGCTTCAATATGGTTTTCTGGACCGCCCTTTCTATCGCAACATATGTCAGACTGGCCTCAGCCTCCCAAGCTGAGGAATCTTGACCAGGAAGTAGTTAATTCAGAGAAGCGAAAAAGCACATTCATTGTGAGGTCAAACCATTTACTTGAAAGGATGGAATCAATCAGCTCGTTTACTCGGTGTCTACGCGTAATCGCATGGATGTTCCGCTTTTATCGTCTCACAAGCAAAACGAATAACACCAAAGCGGCTGGATTGACATCGGAGGAACTACAACATGCATCCAACTGCATCATATGGAATCTCCAACAGCAATCGTTTTCAATAGAATTTCCGCTGCTACAAATATCTCGACCGCTGCAAGGACAGCTGAAATTTCTCAACCCTTTCATTGAATCTTCCTCAGGTTTCCAGCTCATCAGAAAACGTCAACATCTCAGAAAGTGAGAAGCACCCGATTCTTTTGCCTAAGAAATCGCATATCTCCTGGATATATGTTCGACATCTTCAAGTGCGGCGTCGACTTTTGCGGCCCAATCAACACTTATCTTCGCATCCGTGGAAAGGGTCCTGTGAAGTCTTACTTGGCAATCTTCGTCTGTATGGCATCAAAGGCTGTACACATAGAAGTCGTTTCAGAACTATCGACTAAGGCGTTTCTCGCTGCACTGAAACGAATGATTGCTCGACGCGCATTGCCCACGGACATTTATTGTGACAATGCCACAAATTTTGCAGGCGCTTCTAACCATCTTCAAGAAATTCATCTTTGACCGCAACACGCAAGATGCAATTGAATCCTTTTGTTCTTCTGATTTTATTAATTTTCACTTTATCCCCCCTAGAGCCCCACATTTCGGCGGACTTTGGGAAGCGGCAGTAAAAAGTGCAAAAGGACTGCTGAACAGAACTCTTATGAATACGCGGCTCACCTTTGAAGAGCTCACCACCGTGGCAGCTGAAGTCGAGGCCATACTCAACTCACGCCTGTTAACCCTATTATCGCCTGATCCGAGTGATTTTGGAGCGATCACTCCGGGTCACCTCCTGGTTGGAAAGCCGTTGCGTGCCATGCCGGAACGCCACATCACCACAGCCAACATCACCAATCTTCAGCGCTTTGACGTCGTGACGGCCATCAAGCAAGAGTTTTGGCGCCGTTGGTCAGCGGAATATATCAACGAACTGCAAGCCCGCACTAAATGATCACAACCTTCAACAAACGTCACCGTTGGATCGTTAGTCATCATCCACGACGACAATCGTCCTCCACAGCATTGGAAACTCGGCCGTATTGACTCCGTTGTAGTCGGAAAGGATGGTCTCGTCAGAGTTGCTCATGTCAGAACACCTAACGGCTACTGCTCTCGACCAATACACAAGTTGGCATTAATCCCTACATCTGACCTGAAGGACTGAGAATTTTGAAAGTGGATCCTTTCAAGGGTGCCGGGATGTTCGGTCAAACTTTGTTATTCCCTTAGTATTTTCTTATATACATATCAGAGACTGTTAACTTTCTGGCATAAACGATCAGTTCGAATGAAATAGCGAAACGAAGAACACTCTCTTTAATCGGTACAGACTTTTCACGCCTCATTTTTCACACCGCCCAGATCCTAGTTTCATGTCACCACAAAAACGCTTGTGGATGCAACAGACAGCCTGTTGTTGCTGTCCATAAGGTTTAACTTTGTTCTTACTTCTCGAACCAGCGTTGAGATGATTCTATTACTACAGAGTGCAGTTATTGCCGCTCGACCGTCCGAGAGGATCGCAATGTCCTTGTTTGTGTACCCGCGCTTCATATTGAGCTCTGCACACCGTCCTATGGCACACTCCTCAGCTTGGAATATGCTGGTGTATTGGCCTAAAGATTCATGGTACTTGATTCGTGGTCCTATTACTCCAAGGCCAGTACCTTGGTGTGTTAGGGACCGGCCATATACCACGCTATGGTGTGACTAGCCATGGAGTGTACTTCCTTCATGGTGGTCCATTCTTTTTTGTTGCTCAGATGAGCAGAGAAATTCTTTTCGAAGATGAATTCTACTATCATTTCGTCCCTGGTGTGTGAACTAAGGGGAAGTTCGACTAGTAGTTTTCCTGCATTCCTTAAGCTGAGGACTTCCAGTCTTGGTTGCAAATGTAAGTCTCCTGTCGAAGGTAACTTTTATACATTTCGATTTCCTGAATTAAAATTCAAATTTTAACTGCTAACTTAACGTAACTTTACGAACACCCGTCTAATTGCAATCGCACCTAACTTTGCTTATTTCGTTTTCTCTATCTTCATTATCATTCTTCTTTTCGCAACTCTAAACTTATATACATTCAATTTTCGGTTCTCGCTTCACCCTCGCAAGCACACGGTGTACCAAATTGTGGGTCGCGATCGTGTATACGCAAAATACAAAAAATTTGTACATAAAAAAAAAACCAAATAATACTCAGAAACTCAAAAGCACATCTCATCTAATCATAAACCATTGGCCTTATTTTTAAAAAGTGCATAAAGCGGTAGCAACAAATTAGTTGTAGTCCTCTAAACATTTGGTGATCCCGACGTGATCTACGTGGGGTGTGTTTTTTATCAGTGCATTTGGACACCACTTCGCAATTCGGTGAAGAGGCCTACAAACATACATACATAGATATTCATGTACTTGAGTATTAGTCGGCGCGTTTCTTCGTGATCTCGTTCATATACATAACAACCGTTTGAACTCGGTTATATAAAGTGCATTGCAGTGTATAAACCGTGTTAAACGAGGTCAGTGAACGCTTACGGATTTGTTCCGTTGCATTTTCGTCGACATTTCGTCTCTCTTGCATTGAGAATTCGTACAGTTGCATCTGCAACTTATAGTGATTGTGGCTTTCGTATACTCTTTTTGAAAGGAGCCATGGCTGAAAATGATTCGGTTGGTGCAAGACCCGCGGCGGTACCAAGTGACTTGGACTTTTATAAAGCAAAAGCCGATGCTACCTTAAGACAGTTAGAAGCTTTAAAAAGCTACTTGGAGTCAGATGAGGCTGTCAACTTCGACGTGACTGATCTTCAGGTGCGATTTGATTTTGTCGATCAAACGCAAGTGGACTTTGATAAAAGTTAAACCGCAGTCGAAGAGTTAGACTTGCATGAATTGTACAGCGACGCTCGGTCAAAGTTCGTAAATATCTACCTCGCTGTAAAATCGCAAATTTCACGTGAGCAAGCAGCGTAGATTCTCAGTCGTCAATCTGATGGATTTCAGGTGTGGAGCAAGGATCGGTAGCAAGCTTACTACGCTTAAGCGACCAGATGAATTCGCATCTGTCTGCGCTGAATACTATGGCAACGACACAGAAGATCATGGACGGTCTTCTGATTTATCTGGTAGCTTCGAAGTTGGATCGTCACACTCAGTAGAAATCGGAAGAGGGTCTGCAAGCAAATAAGACGCTGAAGTGGAAAGATATGGCTACATTCCTGGAAAAGAGAAAGAAACATGCGGCACATGTTGGAGAATATTAAAAACGCTATGGTAATCCAGACACCTAACAAAAATATTCATAACGCACTCGTAGCATCATCATTAAAATCATGTACAATGTGTGACAGTAAAGATCATTTCATTTCTAAATGCGCTCAGTTTTTAAACCTCAGTCCCACCTTACGATATAAGGATGCTAAAAAGCTGCACTTGTGTCTAAATTGTTTGCGCAAAGGCCATGGTATGCAACAGTCCAAGTCTGGTTCTTGCAAACGCTGCCATTCGAAGCATAATTCGTTGCTTCACATCGATTCTAATGCCATCGCCACACCCTCTCCTCCAACTACCACTACTAACACTCAAAATGTCGTTCGCTTTTATCAGCATCACTTTTTGAAGCTCCACCTGTTGTCTCGTCAGATAGTAAGACCGATTATGTGCTGCTTGCCACTGCCATCGTATACATCAGAAATCGATCTGGTGCATTTGCCCCCTGCAGAGCCTTGTTAGATTCTTGTGCTCAGCACAACTGCTTAATTGCTTAAGCAGTTGCAAGTCACTACTCGTTAAGCAAACACATCTATCTCTGGAGTTGGTGGTCGGTCGAAGCACACTCCAGGTATAGAAAATATCGTACAGCACTGACTGCAGTATTCAGTGGCAAAATTACGGATTATCAGCCTCATTTTGACTTAAACGCCCTAGGGTGGAACATACCACCAAATCTTGTTCTTGCTGATCCGTGGTTCTACAGTAGTCATACCTTTTCTCGACTCAGTTCAGGGCAATACTCAGTTCGTTTGCCTGCCAAAGCCAGTTTTGATATGCTCGGCAATTCATACGGTCGTGCCTTACGTCGATTTAAGACGCTAGAGGGCAAATTGCTCAAGGATTTGGAATTGAAGTCAGAATACACTGCATTCATCAAAGAATATATCGATCTACAGCATAAGTCACTTGCTTCTGAGCAATCAGTAACCTCGCAATATTACTTGCCTCATCATTGTGTGCAGAAGCCAGATAGTACAACCATAAAGTTACGAGTTGTATTCGATGGCTCAGCTAAAACGACCTCAGGATGCTCTTTAAATGATTTGTTGTTTGTAGATCCCTCAATGCAGCCCAAAATCTTCAACACACTGCTTCGTTTTTGTTTTTTCCAAGTTGCATTATGCGGGGACATCTGCAAAATGTATCGATGGGTCCGTGTCACTAGTCCTGATAACTATTTGCAGTCTATCTTATGGCGTGACACCCCAAATCAACACGTCAAGGCTTATACGCTCGATACGGTTACCTACGGCACTAAGCCGGCTGCATTTCTGGCAATTCGTGCTATGCAGCAGCTATCCTATAATGAGGAAGCTGAGTTCCCGTTGGCAGCCAAAATAGTTCGAAGAGACTTTTATGTAGACGATCTCATATCTGAAGGTGACTCGATCGTGGAGGCAGCTCAAATTCGTGAGCAGGTGAAGGAATTGCTATCCAAGGGTCATTTTCCAATTCGAAAATGGTGTTCAAATGAGGCAGCAGCTTTAGAAGGCGAGCCAGAAGCAGATGTCAGCGGTCAATCATTTAAAATTTCCTCGTTTCGTTATGCAGCCTAACTCGTCGTTTGAGATACACGCTTTTTGTGAATCTGAAATTCATTGCTGTGTCTCAACTCATTTACTCTGTTCCAATTCTAGAGTTTCGCCCCTAAAAACCCTCACTATACCCAAATTGGAGTTATGCGCAGCGCTATTGTTATCAGAGCTCATTTCAAACATTGCCCTAACCATTTTATCTGATTGTAATTTTTATCAGACCAACAGTCTGATTCAACCATAACGCTTTCTTGGATTCGTCAAGCTCCATTAGATTTTAATATTTTTGTATCCAACAGAATTGCGCAGATTCAGGATCGCACCAAGGGCATGATATGGCGTCATGTACCCACACACTGGAACCCTGCCGACATATTATCCCGTGGATGTTCACTTCTCGAGCTTTTGGAGTCGAACCTGTGGCGAAAGGGACCTCCATTTTTACTTTTGGATTCATCGTGCTGGACAAATATAACGCCTGTTGTGGGCAACTTGCCTTAACGTCGTCGTATGGTTTTAGTTGTAACCGAAAAGCAGGATAACTCATACGATTGCAAATTTCAAAACTCATTTGGAAAGCTGCAGCGTTTTTTTGGATATATATACCGGTTCTGGCTTCTCAAGTTTCAAAATCAAACGCGAGTCGATGACGTCAAAGGTGGCACACATCTACTCATCAAAGGAATCCAGCGTGCATCGTTCTTGGACCAGATGGCGTGGCCCGTGTTGCAGTTATTCGAACAGCTGCAGGCATTATCAAAAGAGCTGTTGGCAAGTTGGCCGTTCTGCCCTTTGAGACCACTTCGTCTGTCAGTGTGACTCTTCCAGCGGGGAGAGCATGTTCGGAGCAGAACCCCTAACTTTTTTACATTTCGATTTCCTAAATTCAAATTCAAATTCTAACTGCTAACGTAACGTAACGTAAACGTAAAATTATTTACCAACACCCGTCTAATTGCAATCTCACCTAACTTTGCTTATCTCGTTTTCTCTGTCTTCATTACCATTCTTCTTTTCGCAACTCTAAACTTATATACATTCAATTTTCGGTTCTCGCTTCACCCTCGCAAGCACACGGTGTACCAAATTGTGGGTCGCGATCGTGTATACGCAAAATACATAAACTTTGTACATAAAAATAAAC